GCGTTATACTGGGGAGGTGCTATTGGCGGTCTGAGCTATTTAGGTCGCAGTTTTTTTTTTTTTTTTACATTTTAGGTGACAGAAATGAGTTTGAAAACAAATGAGCCTGCTATCAGCATATTTATCATGTTACAATTCTCTTCTTAGTTAATTCAGCTGTTTTTTTATAAATTTTTATCTATGATCGGTGTGTTCGTATGATAAGAAGCGTGCATTGTACGCTTTGATAACCTGATGTATTTACAGTACAGTATTATACCATAGCAGTGCTACAGCTAGGATTGGCAGAAGGGAGGAAGCAGCTTCTTGTCATACGAACAAGTCAACGTTCACTTCGGAAGGTGCTGAAATTTTGCGAAGATTTTTTGATTTTGAGGAGGAAAAATAGCAAAGAATGAGCACAGTGGAATATTGCAAAAAAAAATTACTTCAATTGTGAGTTAAAAACTGCACTATAAAAACATAAAAATGCCTCCGAAAACATTAAATTGAACTGAGTGCAATTTAAAAAAAAAAAGAGGGAGGGGAAAATTTGTCCGGATTTAGGGAACAAATGAACAGATGCGTAGTATTTAGAAACTAAAAACGGAGACATCCGCCAGGTTTTCCTAATTTCGGAAGTTCAATATATCATGTTCTGAGCAAATCTACGACTGGGTCCTCTCCCCTCTGCGCTAATAAATTCCGCTTATTCTGCTCCCAACTCTCCACCAGCTTTAATTTGAAAAAATTGGCCCATAAATGCGCTAACCATTTCGGTGCGATATGCCATTTCGCGCTCAAAATCGGCCAAATGCGAGAAATGTCGATCATTTTCGAACAGCGACATAATGTGCGTATAATCAACCACTGCTGCCACAACCGCTAAAAAACCCATAAATTCAAGTTTTGTTTGATTTTTATTTCCTAAGAAATATGATTCAGAAACGAAAACGCATTCATGATCCTTATTACAACTTTTCGCTTTGATGAACAGTTAAACTGACTGCTTGAATTGAATGAGTTCCATGCTCTGTCAGTTTGGATCTTGCTGAGCTACAAAATTTCGTTCAGTTTTTTCAAGCAAGATACCAACTCATCCTGTGTATGTGTTCAGAAAGAGACATGACGACAAAGTGGTGCTCCCTCTCATATCGCTAGCTGCCATCCTCACCCAACAAAAAATTACAATAAAAATTTTATTATCGACATGCAATTGTCGGTACTAGCTCAACAAACAGGAAAAAAAAAACCAGTTCACACAGGCACAAAGACTCTGTGCACTAATTACCTTCTGACACATACTCGGAAAAACGAGGTTCACAAAAATATGTTCTCTTTCTTGAACAAACTCACAACTCAAAAGCCTTTCCGCATCTTAGTGGCTCACAGTGCGAGTCGGCACACTTTTCTAGCCCAGTTAGTGCTTGCTCGTCAGCCGCTACCTCTCTTTCTGTGGACTTATTGGAAAGGCAAACTCAGCCCTAGAAACAACAGCTGTCAATCTTAACACTCGAATCGGACTTTCTGTATAATTTCTAAGTCGCTCTATGCCAAGCTTTCGATGTTACTGCGATGCAGCTGCAGTTAAGCAGCACGCCTCGTTGGTTGGTGATACCTATTATAATCAGGTACTCCCGGACGGCGTGACCCCTTGCTTAATCGCAACTGCATTACAGCTCTTCGT